CTTCTCCTCGGGGTACTCTGCAAAGACTTACACATAGGGAAAACACTCAGAACTTCAGTCAGTCAAACCCAAAAGTTATTAAGCTCCAAATCCAAATGTTAAAAGGTGTCAGGATGTGTCAGACAGCACAAAGCTCATGCTGTCTTTCAGTCTGAACCACATGGCACCCTCTTAACCGATGTATGGGACTGCAGAAGTTGGGAATGAAGCTCAGTCTCCTGGCCCTGGTCACTTCAGGACGTAGAAATGATCAGCTCTACCTGCAAGAGAATATTCTTAAGATTTCCTGCTCCTCTGCCACAAGGAATGGTTTTTCTGGGGATGAAGCAGGGAGAGAGAGCACTGGGCTTTTCTTATTCAGCTTTGCTTTAGGCAAGTAGAGGCAGCACAATGGCAAATGTACCCTAGAGATACTAGCATTTTTATACTCAAATTTCTTTAAATGGGCTTCCAATTTCAAATATGTCTAAAAAAAAAAGCCAGGATAAAGAAGACTGCAAGAGAGTTCCAGACTTGCTTCCTTCTCCTTGTATCCTTCATGCAAGTCTTCCATTTTGTACACACACTCTGTTAGGTGAGGGACAGGTCAGGAGGAGACAATGATTTGGGAAGTTTCAGCAAAAGCATACCTTTTGCCACAGTCCCTGGCTCATAACTCACTATTTTGTTTCCAGGATCTATGTCCAGCCTCACTGAACTCACTCTGTTTGCTCTTTCTGCTTAGGACTGTCCACTGCACATGTCACTGAATAGAAAAGTAATAATTTATCTATTTCTCCTTATTAAAGTAGCTTTCTGCTCTGCAGGAGTTTATCAGACAGCTCTCCTGAAAGGAGAATCCACTGAATCACATTATGGTTTTCATACTTTTCACAGGCAGAAGGGTTGGAAGAGATTAGTGGGCAATTCCCCACCTGGGCCTCGATTCACACGGTGACAGGACTGACAGTCCCACCATGGTTTTGAGAGAGAGGCAATACAGAGCTCAGTGGTTCTGAAAGTTCAGATGCAGGGCTTCATCCTGGGCACCTACAAAATCTGTAATTCTCCACTGGTAATTCTCTGAATTATACAGATAACCTGTGAAGTAAGTAGCACGCAGAATTTCATGGAACCCTTTTCAAAATAGCTGTCTTCTAACTGAAGGACAGCAGCTCCATCTCCAGCCATGAAGCAAGTTTTCTGCAGAGAGATTTAAGTATACACAGCCCTGATTACACCTAGATCAGGTGGATCCTATTTAATGAGAGGCATGGCTCCAACAGAATATAATCACATACAAATCTACACCTCAGTGTACAGGCACTGGAGAGGACTGGTGTAAAACTGTAAAGGCAATTTTAGAAGCTCACAAAAGGCCTCCAGTATCTTTAACTGCCCTTCTGCCCATACACTTCATAATCTGGTACATTACAAAAGTTTTCCCTATTAGTTGTTCTCAGTGGTGTTGGGTACTGTGGTACCTCCAAGTGGCAATTTAGTGGCTGACAGAAAAATAAGTCCTTCATTGTTCCCTGGCAAAACACACTCTGGTCTTGCAGCACTGAAAAATTCTTAGAGAATTCAGTAAAAACTGTTTCTATGATCCTGCATTACAATACTTTGAAGTTTAGCTAGTCTTTCCTGGACATTTACCATTGCTCCACATCCACCTGAGTACAATAATTCTTGCCCATGGTTTCAGTTCAGAGCCAGTGCAGTGTTTCAGTGTTAGGCTACCACAATTTTTAATGACAGTTTGTAAATACAGAAAAGGAGGCACTTCTGTTTTTTTTTCAGAAAGCCTCCTGTACAAGAAAAAAAAGTTTAAAAAAATCAACACAAAATAAAAAGCTGTGTTTCATCTTGTTCACCAGCAGCATTTGAAAGGTAACCATCACGAAGACACCAGTGTTTGCATGAGTAGGACTAAGCCAGGTTAAAAGCAGGGAAGAGCAAGTTTTTAAGGAAAGTAGAATGTGAATGATTTCCACTTGCATAGTGGAACAGAATTTAAGCAAGACTCTTGATGTTTACTGCCTTAACAATGATCATTCAAGCAAGAATCAGTAGTCTCTCAACTGTTTCTGCAGAGTAAGCAGAAAAATCATAAAACCACTATTAGCTAGGAAAAGGACTCCATGCAAGGCAATCCAATCCTTAACATATGGAAAGAGAAGGAATCAAGCAACATCCCTGTGTTTAAATCTTATTTAACTCAGATGAGTAGATGTCATGATGGGAGTGGGACTGAGCTTTCAGTACCCACATTTCACTATTTTGAGTATTGTTAAAATCAAGAACCAAAACGGATATTTAAATTCCTGAAAACATTCCCCACCAGATTATAAATATTTTTATGAGGTTATACCAAGAGCTTAAACTAGTTGGTAAGGGTTCCTTTGAGGTCTTTACAACATTTACTTCAATGAAAAGCTGTCTCCAGGGTAGAACATACCTTTATGCACAATCTAAATAAAAAAACACCTCACCGACTGCTCAGTAATGGGGGGTGGCAAGAAGAAGAACAGATGCAGGAATTTCAGATATTTGTTAATTGCTCCTCATTCTGTCCCAACAAAAAAATATTTTCCTACCCCAAAATGTTTATTTAAGGTCGCCATTTTAAATAAATCAGATTTAGTGGCATAGGGAAAACTCAAGTCCAAAGGTTTAATCTTTTTACATAATGCACTGACCTCTGCTCTCATTATGGGCCATAAACATTTATGTGAGTTCATCATCAACTTGCTGAGACAACATATTTTATCTAGTTTCCTAGAGCCACATATCAATAAACTAAGGAACTTTCCATAAGACTGACTCTAGCTCATTCTCCTTCACCCCACATCCCAAAAGGTTTCTTGCATTTCACGTATTAAGTAGCTAGATTTTTAACAGATGTAAAAAATAAGCACCTGAAATAAGCACTTACCTGTAACAGATCAATAGTAAATAACTTCCTTACATTTCCCTTTTGCTCTTATACTCCTCTACCACTAGTTTTAAAGCCAGCAGTTGTTTCTGCATTCAAAAATAGCCCCATCCTAGCTATGTAAACAAAGATGAAATTCTCAAACCTATTCTTTGCCAAGAGAAAATCATTTGACATGCTAAAATACAAATCCTGCTTTTTATAAGGAAGATTTTGATATGTTAGATTCCCTTTTTCTCTCTAACAGTCAAACTAATCCCTACCAGCTGTATGTGGCTAAGTTCACCTCAGCTAATGTGCAACACTGTCTTGCTTGTGGTTTAAGAGGCATTTTCATCTTGAACAGACAACTGCCATGTGCTGGCAATGAAAAGAAGCCAATTTCTCATGGTATCATTATGACACACGCAACTGGTGTTTGCCCAGACCGTGCACTGGGGAGGTGGAGAACACTCCTCTCCTGGTCCTGTCCACTCCTACAAGAGCCACAAGCAAGTCTGAGAGTGGAGACACAACGAGCACTTCCTCCAGGGAGTCCAGCAGAGGAAAAAGAAGAGCAAAGCCTTGTCTCATGCAAGGGAGGGACTGTACAAGGAAGGGAAGTTCCATGATATTCTCCTCTGCTTGGCCTTGTTAAGGATGTCTCCCAACTCCTCCCTGCCACAAGGTCTAATTCTCAGTTATCAGACAGCTGTTTCTATCATGGAAATTAAGTTGTGAATAGTCTGATTGCAGCATGGAGCTGCCAATTGCTTCTGGTTATTAAAAAAACCCTCAGGACAAATGATCAGAGTTGTGCACTTTAACAATAAAGGGATTTCTTAAGAGGTGAACTGCTTCTAGACTGGGTTGATTTTTTAAATAACAGTTTTCAATTTAAGGCAGTATCAACCACTTAATTCAGAACTCTTACATTAGGCATTCACTGTGCCTAGACACCACACAATTATTTGGTGGCTCATATGAAAGAAGAGTTATTTAATTTAATGCTGCAGTCCACCACCCACAGATGTAATTCTTACCTACTCAGCAAATTAAACAGAAGCACCAAACCTAGCCAGTGCAAAACCCTACTTAATTTACTGTAAGCACAGCCTCACGAGTACCAAACACACCTGTCCAAGTGCAGAAATTATTCATGTTCTCTGTAATCACCTCAAAAAAAAAATTGGGAAAAGTTCTCTCAGTACCACAAGCTCTCCCCTATGACTTTCATCTGAAGTGATGACTACAAACTGCAGTGAAACCCAGCAAGAGGAAGCCTCTCTCTGGAGTTATTTCCCATTCTCTCATAATTATTCAGTCCCTGACTGTAGTTTCAGCATTTCTCAGAGACTAGATATGCACTTCATTAGATCACTGCTCAAGTCACTGCAACGGATTTCCGACTTATATTCATCATTCCCCCTTCTTTCAGCTTTGGATCTACCTCATGCCCCTCCTTGTTCCTTCTTGTGAACACTGGGTCTACTGTTCCATGATAGAAATAATGACACAAGCACATGTTAAGACCAACAAATCCGGTAATTATAAGGAGCTGAATTTCTATAGATGCTTTGACCTGGGATTTAAAAAAAAAAAATTAAAAAAAAAAAAAAAAAGAGAGTGAGGGAGAAGACCTAAATGAAGTGCTACCACTTCAGGAGTCAAAGTTTAAAAAGTCACACAAACTAATCTCCATAACTCTGGGAGACCATTTCCCTTATTCTTATTGTAGTACCAATTCAGTAAGGAAGAGGTTTTCTTCCTAGCATGCACAATACTTAAAGAACCAGGGAAGCACATTTCTTTTACTATTTTTTGACCCTAAAGTAGCAGACATATGCACCTAAAAACCCCCCACACTGATCCATTTCCACTTACATAGACTAATGGTGTAATATATCCCCTGTAAGATGAATTTTTAAGCACTTATATGTATTATGAGTGTCACTATGTGCATAAAGAACTACAGAAAAGTCTATGCTATCTATAACTGAGGTTTATATCAGCACTTGCAAAACTGTACACATCTGCTATACCAACAGCTTTTTTTTTCTTCTCCTTACACAAGTGTGCCAGAGGTTTCTTTTGGTTCATATCTTACCCGAAAGCAGATACACAGAGCTGAAATTCTTTTCCAGTTTGCCCAGGAGCACAGTAAGAAAGCAGTCGGATGAGAGAGAGGTCACATCTTTAGAGCTTTGGTCATACACCACCACTTCCTGCTTGCAGTCAATCTCAATCTGAAACACAAGTAACTCAAGAGTAAAAAGGGAGGAAGATGATTCCAAGCCCCACATTTATCATCTCCAGCAGGGTTCCCATATATTTGCTGTACAGTAGTTCAGATATACAGATTTCTTATGCAGCTGTACGTGAACCGGTTTTGTTTTATGCTTCATATGCTTATGAGATTCAATTCCTTGGAGAGTTTGTAAATTGATTATTTGCTGCAAGTTGAAGCACGCTCCACAAATTTCTATCATTAGCTAATTTTATGTCACTTGTGAAATGCTCCACCTTCAGCTAGGTTGGTTGATTTGTTTAAAAGCTAAGCTTTTTAGAAGAAGGCCCTACCTCAGTTTCTGCTTCTGGGTGTTTTGTACATAAACAATAAAGAGTCCTTAAACTGCCTCTAAGCCACACACATTTTGGTTACCTGTGCAGCTTTATGTATAAAAAAAGCCCAAACCAACACCATCATCATCATCATCATCTTCACGTTTAACATGTCAAAGCAAGAACGTAGCAGATTATTTTTGTATCCAAAGCACATGACACAAATACCAGTGGATAAGAAAAAAACCCAAATCCCCCCCATGCATTAATTTGAAACAGCTTAGCTATTTTCTTTTCACTGATAACACTATTTGGAAAAAAACACATCCCACCCCCCAAAAAACCAAATCAAACCACTAAAACCTATCAAACTGCTCCCATGAAAAGCATTTTTAACAGCAGGTAGAAGCCAGGATTGACAGGGATGCAGTTTCTTTGCAAACCATATGACTGCTTGCTAAGCAATCCCCAGCACCACAGATCCCAAAGAATCCTTCGAAGTTTAGGAGGAGAATGTTTTCTGCCTTAATTACATCCATTTGAGGGACTCTGCTTTAAAAGACATGTAAGAACCCTGAGAACATTCTTTCTGAGGATTTCTAAATCCCTCCCCATTACTGTGTCACTTCAGGAAGAGCAGGCTACAAAGAATCCCAACAATAAACGTAATAGTAACCAATGCCCTTTTCGGTGAGGTGGGATCTCAGCTAAACTCAGTCCCTTAGTCTTGTTTGGTTTTTGTTTTGTTCTGTTTGTTTTTTGTTGTTGGATTTTTGTTTTGGGTTTTGTGGTTTTTTGTTTTTGGGTTTTTTTTAAATGAAATACCTAAGGAAAATTTATTACAAGTTACTTTCCAGCCACTCCTTTAAACAAATAATAAGGAATAAGAGGAAGACGACTCCTACCTTGTGTTTTGCTGAATGCTGAATGAGCTCCGTAATCAAAACTTTGTCCTGCTGCAGCCTCCGCTTCATGAGCTTGGAGCAGTTGATGTTGATGGCATCCAAGATGTGGGACGTGTTGTATTCCACAAAGGGGCGGCTATCAATCAGCAGCAGCTTCTCTGTACCGCTCTCCAGCAAAGCCACCAACTTCTCAGCAACGATGAGTTGAGTCCTGATCATCTCATGGGCCATGACAACAACAAGGCCTCTTTCACCACCTCCCTCTCTGATTTGCTGCGATGATGTAAGAGCTGTGGACTCAAAGGCTTAGCCACACCATTGTACTGGAAATGTATGAGGTCATGCTGGTAGTGACTGGCAAAAGAAAAGTTAAATCCATTTTCGGAGAGAGCCCTTCAGCTGAGTGTCTTCTCCTGCTTCCAGCCGCTACAAAGGGTTCGTTCCACAGAGCAGCCCCTCACATCTGATCCATCAGGACATGGCTATGGAGCAGCCATTCCACAGTTCAGACAAAAGATGCTTTCTGCCTGCTGCTGCTGCAATACATCATTCTTTACCTTTGCTCCCACCCATCAGCTTTGCACCGGACTAAAAGCCTGTAAGAAGGGGAAGATGAAAAAAACAAAAAATATTCAGCTCTGAGGTTCACTGTGCAGTGGGCCATGCCATAGAATAAATACATCCCTGAGGACTTCTCCTCTCTGCTGGATATGCCGAACACCTACAGAGAGAACTGGCAACTACAGTCACTGAATCTATTCCAATAATCTTGCCTGGACAATTATCTTGTATTTCAGGTAACATCCCCTGCCTTAATTGCAGACTTTTGTTGCCACTAGCTCTGCTTCTTCACAAGACTGTTAGAACATAAATAAGAGACAGAACAGCAAAACTGTTTAAACGCATTTCAGCACTTCACCACTTAGTAAGAAGATGTAAAATTAGTTATTTAAACATTTTAAACATTAAACATTTTTAAAGTTTAATGCCTTGGAAAGTATTTTACAAATCAGCACTGTAAGTTGGGGAACTGAAACTGTACAAAAGAAAGGATCAAACTTACATCCATCTCTCTTAAGAACGCTCTTGAAGAGAAACCAGAAGAACAAGATGCTACATCGGGACACAAGTGTTTTATTTGGATTAATCACCACACATGGTACAGAGGTCTCACACTGCTCAAAGGTAAAGCAGTGAGCATTCTTCTGCCCTTTGGAGCTGGTGTGACAGTCATATAAGGTGTGCTACACTTTTAGCACATGTGCCGAATAATATCTGAAACAAACTACACTCCTGTAAACTTAGATCCTGACAGCATCTGAACAACATCAGCTGAAACAGCAGAGCACCTGACCTGTCTGACCACCCCTTCCTATTACTGCCTCACAGCTGCCCTTAGGCTCTTCAGAGTCTCCCAAAATACACTCTGATAGAACAACTCCTTGTAGGAACACTCCTCAGAAAAGGAGCCACCACGGGGCTTCATCCACAAGGGATTTTAACTTACAATTTACTTACAGTGTTGACTTGCTGTTTATGTTTGACATGTTTGTTATTTATCTTAATTGCAAGAGAAGTAATGAATTCAAACTGATTTACAGATAGATTATTAAAAGTCCTGTTACACCAACAGATCAGTTGTGCTCGGCAATGGGAAATCCCGGGTCAGGAGATGTTTTACACATTAGATATATTGCACAAATCTACATATACAAAATCTTAAGCAAATTAAATTCTGGAGAAAGTACAAACTTCACTTTAACAACCCCAAAAAGGAAACTGAAAGCTATTTCGTGAGTTTCATGTGGCAATACAAGAAAAACACCAGGTTTCACATAAACAGACGTGAGGTTGACAACATGTGATTTTCCATTTGTTCTGATTTTAGTGCTATTGAAACAGTGCTCTTAGGCTTGTCCAGATAAAAGGAAGCACATAGTGCATAGTCCTTCACATCACACATATGTGTATGTGAAATGCATGTTGCTCTCAACTACAAAAAAAATTGGAAAAAAAACTTTACCAAGCCTTAATTAAATGTACTAAATAAACCCCCTATCTTTGCAACCTGGTTGGCAAGCCTGCTCCCCCTCAAAGAGCAGTCATTATATACTGGCCTCAGGAAGGTATCAAAAGACTATGCCATTTTGCAAGGGGGGAAAAAAGGAAACTTGATAGTTGTGTCCATTCTTTTTTCAGAAGGAAAACAGTGCTCTGCATTTTTTAGAACTTCTCTTTAACATGTCCCGTCACAAGCTTTGATTCTCTTTGAATCATATCAAAGGTTGCCAGACACCAAACCCACTGAACTCAATGAAAACTTTTCCACTGGCTCTAGTGGTAACTGGCTCTAGCTCCTTTGTAAGCTAGACAGTTTGTTCGTGAACTAGACAGTTTGTTTTGATGGATAAATTGCTGACCTAAAGTCCAATTAATAACAGGAAAATAAAGCAGCTGAGAAACTACGGAACTCCCCAACACATGCTGTTAAAAATACTTAAATCTTTAATTTGCAACTTTCTGTTTGGGTATACTTATCTCCTAAATGCTTACTGCTTGCTGTCTCAGCCTTCACTTTCATGCAACAGAAGTTTGTTTCAGAAGACCCTTGAAAAGAACTCAAACCAGTCATATATGGTGACTGGGTAAAGAGCACGTAAAGAACATAAGGCAAGTGGGCTACCAGTGAAGAATCTTTTTAAATAACCATATTACCTTAATGCAATAAGTGCCTTGAAAGCATGGTTTGAAAGCAATAAACTCAACAATGTCACCTCAATGTTGAAATCCTATTTCGACAGGAACATCTCCCATTGGGCAGGGGAGAAACAACATTTTTATCAAGTACAGGTTTTTCTTTTAATTCTCTCCATTTCTGGAGCTATTGGATTTGGGGATTCTTCCTTGGGACTTATCTAAACAAGAGAAACTGGCAGCTCCCTGCTTTAGCTAAATACTTGAGCTCTCCTCCCCTTCCTGTTGACTGCTCTAATCATTTAGATGCTGTGAGGTGTTGACACATCTGTTTCATTTCTAATGTGTTTGTAAAAGGATAAAATTCAGTTTCTTGACTGTTGTCTTTCTGCTGTGCTACTTGTGACCTACATCTCAATGGTATGATTGACACCATAGTGTCTCATCAAATGATGGAATATAACACACTGCCCTCAGTAGGCCATTGCTGATCTTCAAGCTAGGAAACCATCCTAGCCACGGGGTGTTCTACACTGAAATCAGGACTATGGAAAAGTGATCCTTAATCAAACTACGAGAATACCACATGAAATCACTCACGTGCACACAGATAGCACTGCATGGCTGCTTCCTCCTTGCAGAGGGGCTGCAACATGTGGCACTGCTTTTTACCTCATTTAACTCACAGTAAAACTAAAAAGATCTGTTCAACACTTGCCCAGTATCTTTACAGTTTCTCCATATTGTTTAATGAACCAACCCACTAAAACCTCTGCTATCTTCCACACCAATAACAGTGGATTTCTAATGGGTATGTGTAATGCTGCCACATTACTACAGGATCTCTCTTGCCTCAGGGATTCTTGTCCCCATCCCAAGTGGCTCAGATGGAGTGAAGTAAGCAATCAAGTAATTGGAAACGTGGCACTTGTGTTTTGTGTTTGATTTTTCAGTCACAGTAACTCACATTTTGTATGCACTCCTAATTTCCACTGCTACTACTTCTGACTCCAAGAAATTCCTTTAATCACAACAGGACACTTGTTGAAGTTATCTCAGGTTTTGGCTTATACAGAATCACAGAATTACTTAGGTTGAAAAAGACCTCTAAGATTGAGTCCAACTGTTAAACTAACATTGCCAAGTGCACCACTAAGCCACGTCCCTAAACTCAACATCTACACGTCTTTTAAATACCTCCAGGGATGAGAGGCATTGAAAACTCTCAAATTGAGAGTCTCTAATTCTAACTCAGTTAAGGAACTAGCAAAGAGCTTCTAGAAGCTTTTTTATAATCTCTGAAATACTTCTACCTCACATAAGAAGACAACCTTGAAGCTGAACCTTGGTGTCATCCATGCTCAGCAATGTCACTGATGCTCCCACATACATTGTTGCTGCATGGTAAAACACCAACAAAACAACTTTACAGCATCTGAACATTAGAAGGCCCTGATGGGCAGCTTTTACAAGCTGAGCTGAGACACCTGAAGCAGTTGTTGTTTTTTTAAACTGTGTATTTTTCTACTTTCTACAGGCAAACGTGTACACATGAGAAAAACACTCTCCTTTTCTACAGTCCCTTTCTTGTTTCTTAGGATGGGCATCAGCATAAAAAAGAAACAAACCAAAAAGCTGAATAAAAACACAGATGTAGGACACCCTAAACTGCAGAGGATGTGCTACTGCTGGCACATCAGCTGTGTTCAAAAGAATATTTGGCATCAGTGTTACTGAACTGGGAGCTGCCAGTGGTTCAATAGCTGCTGCCAATACCATCAGCACCAGTCCCTCTGACCACAGCCACACGTGATATTTGACAAACTGGACTACACAAACTCTGCATTAGAGAGGAACTCCAGATCTAGGGATCACAGGGTGAATTCCTACTCCTGCAAGAAGCCTTTTACCCCCCCAACACCTATGACAGGCACAGCATTCCCTCACCAGCCTCAAAAAGATTGAAATTAATGCTGTTCTGGACATATACTTGTACCCTGTGCTACTGGAGACTAAGTGACAATTGAGAGAGGTCCAGCCCTTATTCCAGATGCCACTCATCAGTAGCAAGAAACACAGAGTGTCTATGGAGCACAAGGAAATAAGATTTTTAAGTGAAAGGGAGGAATGGCTATTCTTCTGAATTCAGCAAGCCAATAAATTCCAGAGATCAATAACTGCATAATAAAGTGTAAAGTCTGGGGAAAAAAAAAATCTAAGTGAAGTTACAGGAAGCCTCCAAGCAGCCTACATCTGCCATTTGTGCAGATCACACAGGAGTGAGATAACAAAGGTTTGTGAATTAAAAGAGCTCTTAACAAGGGCTCATGTTGAGGGGAATGAGGGGGTCTTTTGCCTTTTGGGATGATTTGAGCAAGTGTCATTATCTCATTAAGCACATCATTTCCTCATGTTTCCTGGCTGGGGGGGTTGAAGCACAGACACTTTCCACCACCCTCCTGAACACTTGGTACAAGTGTTGGCTCACCTTTGGTACAAGACTGGACAGCAGCAAGACTCAAATAGAAACACATAGATTTTAATTGTTTTTTGGTGGTTTTTTTTAAATGCCACGTGTGTACCGTGTTCATAAAAGAAAAGCAGTTTTAAGAATTTCACCCTGCTTTTTTTTTCTTATCTATGGCTGCTCCCTCTTCTCTTACTTTTAACACATCTGTACTTTGGATCTATATATGCAGTCAAAACGCTTAGTGCTTATTTTCCCTTCCTTGTAGAAACACCAGCTACATGCATTTTAGATTACACACCATACATTCATGAGAAAGGCAAGTACAATCCACTGGAAAAAAATGGATGAAGGCAAATTTTCTGTTCAGTACTCTATTGTCCTTCATCCTGCTTGACTGATTTCTCAGGTTTGATTACTAGTTCTAAAAAAAAA